TCAGCCAGTGAGCGGGAACCGGTCTGTATGTGGGATCCGAACCCTCGGCGGGAGCGCCGCCGTGCTCCTAAGCGGCGCACTGTAGCAGTGCGCCACCGGGCCGGCCCTGGTGGTTTTTTTAAAAAAAATTATTTTACTTATTGAATCAAAATCGATTATACATATTTTTGGGGTTGAACATTGAGATATGTTGATTAAATCAATATTACTAGCATATATATTGTTACAAATCATAATTGTTCTTTATGCCCTTGTCCAATCTCTTCCCTTCCCCCCTCTAATTGCCCTAGATTTCTTCTCTCCTTCTGAAAGAGTAATGGTTACTCTGTTAATTTGTTGCCTAGATGATCTGTCCAGTGCTGAGAGGTGTGGTCAGGTCCCCCAATATTATCATAGAGCAGACGCTTCTTCTGTCACTCTGAAATGGTTTTGTGGAAAGAGACATCCTCTTCTTTGTCTCTGCTGGTGACTTCTTTGTGTGAATGCACTCCAGTGGCTGGCGGACCATCTGCGTGGTGGTTGTGGCATCTAGCTGCTTTTGCGCAGCCATGGTTATTGTGATGGCTGTGATGGGTCACCCACATGGAGGTGATGTTTTTGGCATGCTCCTTGGTGCTGGCAGTGTACCTGGTTGTGGGATGTGTTTGGTCCCCTTCTCTATGCCTCTGGTCCCTGGGCAAGCCCCTAGACGCTGTTGCCATGTGCCTTGTTGTGGGAGGGGTGGCCGGTCCCCTTCTCCATGCCTCTGGTAACTGGACGAGACCCAAGGAACTGGCTTGGTGTGCCTGGTCGTGGGAAAGAGGTCCAGTCCCCTTCTCCATGCCCTGGGTCCCTGGGCGGGCCCCAAGGTGCTGGCATAGTGTACCTGGCCGTGGGAGGATGGTCTGGTCCCCTTCTCCATACTCCGGGTCTCTGGGCGGGCCCCAAGGCACTGGAGCCATGTTCCTGGTTGTGGGAGGAGGGTCCGTTTCCCTTCTCCTTGCCTTGGGTCCCCAGGCAGACCCCAAGGTGCTGGCATGGTGTCCCTGGTTGTGGGAGGGGGGTCCAGTTCCCTTCTCCGTGTCCTGTGTCACCAGGCTGGCCCTGAGGCACTGGCGCAGTTTGCCTGGAAGTGAGAGTGGGGTCCAGTCCCCGGATCCAAGCCTCTGGTTCCCAGTCAGAAACTAATTTTTTGTCCTTCTAACACTGGGGAACTTCCTGTGGGAACCAGTACTGAGCTGTGTGGTTGTTTAAATTGCTACTTTGCTGCTGTTCCCTAGGGAAGGCTTTTTGTGCAGCTCAGGGCTTAATGGTTGATCTTATAGGTACTTCCAGCTCTCCAGAGACCCGGTGGGTCTGTGTTCTGTAGAATCTCTGATCTGGGCCTGAGTTTTTTCATCAAACTGCACCCCATGCAATTCTGCATTCCTGACCAGTCTCCTCTGAGTGGTCCTGTGCTGATTGGGGGGCAGGTCGGCTGTCCTTGCTGTGTCCCAGTGTTCTCCTCCTGGTGTTCCCATCTCCCCCACCGCCCATGCTCCAAACACTTCCCATGGGACGGGTCCTGCGCTGGTCCCTTGCGATGACTCACCAGCCTCTGAACAGCTCCCTTTTTTCAGTTGTTGTGGTCCATGGGAACTCTATTGGTGGTCTTGCTGTCCTGGGGGCCGCCAAGGCCCTCTTCTCCCCTGCCGCCTCCAAGTAACTCCATCTGAAGGGCACAGCTGTGGCTTCTGCCAGCTTCTGCTCCATGCGTTCATCAGCTCGAGCCTTAAAGCAGCCATAGCCCAAAACGTTCAGAGCAGCTTTTTTTTTTCTCTCATAGTAGTTTTTCCCACCTTCATGAACTCCGTCGATCTCTCCTCCTCTTCCCCTGAGCTCCAGCGGCCCCAGCTTAGCTGATGTTACATTTTTATAGTTGTAAATTTGGTTGATTTGTGGGAGAGAGTGATGGTGGGAACCATCTATTCTGCCATCTTGACCTGAACTCATTGGTGTTTAAAGTGACATTTAGTTTCATGTACTGGTTCTTTGATTAATGAAGTTCCATTCAACTGGAATGTAATTATAGTGTAAAATGTGGCTTTCTGTTCTTATATCTAAGACCTAAAGTGTAAGTGTGTTTAGTGATAAAGGACTGTTGGTTTTAAGAATATAGATTTTACTTTTTGTAGTCTCAAGTCTTACATAACGTTTTTAATGCTTAAATTACATTTCTTCACCAGCCATCCTCTACAAATCTTCCCTAAAACACAGTTATTGAGAATTGGCTTCAAATCTTTTTTTTAATATATGGCCCTGATTTACCTGTGATATGAATCATAAATATAGGCCTACATGTACTTGATGTCTGGTTCTAATCCTTCTGCTTATCAGGAGGCTGGTGTAAATAAATGTTTTAACATATTGCTTCCTAATAGTTGGAGGAGACTCCCTCCCCCACTCCTTTTTTATTTTTATTTTTATTTTTTTCCTTTTTTTTTTTTGTCTTTTTTCGTGTCCGGCAACGGATCACAACCCTCAGTGTCGCGCCCACCTCGCTCAGCCAGTGAGCGGGAACTGGTCTGTATGTGGGATCCGAACCCTTGGTGGGAGCGCCGCCGCGCTCCCAAGCGGCGCACTGTAGCAGTGCGCCACCAGGCTGGCCCTCCCACTCCTTTTTTAAAACCATGTAGACAGTGTACATTCACTGTGTCCTGTGTCAAGGACACTGCCTTCTGTGAGAGGCAGGACAAATAGAAGCTTGTTCACTGAGGATGAGTCCAGATGAAGGAAAATGAGGAATTGACCTTTTTTCCATGGGGGAGTTTACCTCTCTCAAAATAGGAATACTTGTCTGCCAGTAGTCTTTCACTTTAATGCAGCTGAATAAATGCTGACAAATTCTTGCTTGTAGAATTCCTTTGTCTGTCCCCTAAGCATGTCATCATTTATTAATATATCTGTTCTTCATATCAATGATAATACAGCAGATTTGGTTGCAGTTTTCTTTTTCATCAGTCAGGCTTTCTAGAGACCACTCTAATCAGCTTGGAGAACAGCAGACAGTCTCAATGACATTTTCAGACCATCCCAAAAGTAGTCTACTTCTGTAGATCCATATGTACGCAGCCTGAAAATGAGGATTAACCAACCAATGGATAACTCCTGGTATAAGATACCTTTCCTCATATGTGCCAACCTTCCCATTGGCTTTCAGGGAAAGGGTGTCCAGCACTAAGGAGGAAGTGTGTTATCTGGAAAACCTAATTTCTTTTCTTTTTCTTTTTTTTTTATAAAGATGACTGGTAACGGGATCTTAACCCTTGACCTGGTGTTGTCAGCACCACACTCTCCCAAGTGAGCCATGGGCCAGCCCTGGAAAACCTGATTTCTAAAGAGATCAGATGAATACTCCTACTATGTGAGGGTGGACTTTGTTCTCCCAAAGACCAAGAGCAGGTTCAGTTGGAGAGAGGTCAAATTAGAGGGGATAGTATAATTTAGCAAAGTACAGTAAGTTCTCAGGAAACTTGCCCATGGTTATCATAAGAATAATGACTTATTACATGAACTCAGGTGTCATTTGAGGGGCAGGGCTCAGGTCTAGGTTTTGATTTGGGAATTCTTCAGAACTTGAAAACGTATCTTTATACTGCCATCTTTATATCACACCCTTACTCTTACCAACACTTGGAACATAGTGAACTAGTTCTCATGAAAGTGGAGACTTCAAATTTATAATTATTGCTGTGCTTGCACTTTCACTTGCAATTTAGTAAACAAGTTAGTATTAACTAAGATTATGTGGCCAAGAGTAAATTAAAAAACCTTTTGTTCAAGTTTCTGAAAGACTTTCAAATCAGGAACTTGAATTTATCAATTGTTTCAACATAGTAAGTAAGTTTTTACCTAACTAGTAATGCAGGTGGTTGATAAGACAAGAAAGAGGACTATAATTTATTTGTAAAATGTTACTTTAATATGATGTGGGGGCTGGCTGGTTAGCTCAGTTGGTTAGAGCACAGCCTTGTAATACAAAGGTCAAGGGTTCAGATTCCCCTATTGACCAGCTGCCAAAAAATAAAATAATGGGTTTCAGGGTTAAAAAGAAAAAGCTTAAGGGCCGGCCTGTGGCTCACTTGGGAGAGTGTGGTACTGATAACACCAAGACCACAGGTTCGGATCCCATATAGGGATGGCTGGTTAGCTCACTTGGGAGAGTGTGGTGCTGACAACACCAAGTCAAGGGTTAAGATCCCCTTACTGGTCATCTTTAAAAATAAAAAAAAAAAGAAAAGAAAAAGCTTATTTGAAATATTTAAATGGTATCATTTTTCACTGTGTCTAGAAAGGAACTATGAGTGTTTGTGCCATTGAAAGGATATAATAGATATTTAATGAAGATTAGTCACTCTAGAAAGAGTATAAATTGGGAGAAAAGCAGAGATTTGAGACTTTTCCATACTACTTCTCCCTACCATTACATGTAGCCCACTCCCCACCCTTTTTTTTTTAAGGCTGTTGAAGACACATGAAATGTTTTTGCCCAGATTTTTAGCAATTCTGCTTTGAGCAAAACAAAACAACTCCGTGAATATAGGTGCTAAAGTAGTTCTTGCTAGCTAGACTTTCACTAGGGAGCATCTCTTTGACCAAAGGCCTTCTTTTTATTGAGTCATTTGCTTAACTGTTTCTTTTTATTCTTCTTCAGATGAGCAATCTGCAGATCAAGGAAGAGAAAGTCAAACCAGATACCAATGGTGAGTCACCAGTAATGACAAGCTAGATACAAGTTCCGTGTGTGCGTCTGCTGCACACTCACAGCTGCAAGGGAGATCTCATTTAGCCTAGTATTTAGCAAATTGACAGCACTGGTTTCTAGAGCCAGTAAATTAGGTTTCATTAGCGAAGGGGATATGGCAGTTTTCCAGATTTTATCTAGTCTCTGACTTCTTAAAACCAAGAATCACTATTGAACTGTCTTGCCATTGTTCACTTGATAGTTTCTTTAAATTTTTTTATTTAACTTTTTGAAAAGTGAATCTGGGTTCACAACTTATTGTAAAAAGGTGTAAGTCCTCCTTCCTGTGCTGCTCCAACTACCCAGTTTTCATTCCCTACCTGTGTTAGTTGGCTTACACTGCCATACAAAGTACCACAAACTAGCTGGTTTAAACAACAGCAGTTCACTGTCTGACGGTTTGGGAGGCCAGAAGTCCGAGATCAAAGTGTCAGCAAGGTTGTTTTTTTTTCTTTTTTCTTTTTTTTTAAAAAGAAGACTGGTAAGGGGATCTTTTTTTTTTTCTGTCCTTTTTGAGACTGGCAGCACCACGCTCAGCCAGTGAGTGCTGTGAGCGCACCGGTCATCCCTATATAGGATCCGAACCCGCGGCGGGAGCGCTACTGTGCTCCCAGTGCCGCACTCTCTCGAGTGCACCACGGGCTCGGCCCTGGTAAGGGGATCTTAACCCTTGACTTGGTGTTGTCAGCACCACGTTCTCCCGTGAGAGCTAATCAGCCATCCCTATGTAGGGATCCGAACCCGTGGCCTTGGTGTTATCAACACCACACTCTCCCATGTGACCCGTGGGCTGATCCTAAGGTTGGTTTTTCTCTGACGGCTGTGAAGAAGACTGTCCCATGCCTCTCCCCTAGCTTCTGGTGGTTTGCTGGCAGTCTTTGTCATTGCTTGGTTTGTAAGGACTCAGTCATTTTAGATTAGGGTCCACTCTGCTGACCTCATCTTAACTAATTACATCTGCAGTGGCCCTTTATGACCCTGTTTAAAACTAAGGTAACATTCTGAGGTACTAGAGGTTAGGACTTGAACATATGAATTTTGGGAGTACACAGTTCAGTTCATAACACCACCCCATCCCATAAGTAACCACCGTTTTGGATTTTTAATATTCTCCCAAAGTTTCTTTATGCAAGACAAACATATATAGATTCTCTCCCTGTTGTACTCTTTCTCTCTCTCGCAAGCTAAAGGGTTATGATTTACACGATGCACTTACTTTTTTCACTCACCAGTATGCTTCAGCGTGCTTTCCATATCAATACGTCAAGTTTCCTCACTCTCTCTTATAACTGCATAATGTTGGATTGTGTTGATACACCATAATTTATTTAACCAGTCATCTATTTTTTTTAAAAAAGATGACTGGTAAGGGGATCTTAACCCTTAACTTGGTGTTGTTAGCACCACGCTCTCCCAAGTGAGCTAACCGGCCATCCCTATGTGGGGATCCAAACCCGCGGCTTTGGTATTATCAGCACCACACTCTCCCAAGTGAGCCATGGGCCAGCCCTTAACCAGTCATCTATTGATAGATATTTGGGTTGGTCCCATTCTTTGCTATTATAAACAATGCTTCATGGAATAACCATGAATCTTTTTACATATGTGCAGATGTGTTTGTAGGAAAAATTTCCAAAAACTGGATTTGCCCCCAACCCATTCTTACAAGTTCTCAAATTAGTGCAGAAAAACAAAACAAAAATGGATTTGCTAGTATGTGTGTTTGCAGTTTTTATTAGTATTTGCAAAAGACCCTGCATGGGTGTTATACCAATTTATATTTCTGTCAGGAAAGCATGAGAGTGTCTGTTTCCATACAGCCTCACTACAGAGTTTTTAGCCAAACTTTTAGAATTTTGCCAATCTGATAGATAAAAATTGGTGGATTGTGTTTGCTAATATAATGCTGTATTTTAAAATAGGATAAGTGCGGCCTGGCCCGTGGCTCACTTGGGAGAGTGAGGTGCTGATAACACCAAGGCCACGGGTTCGGATCCTATATAGAGAAGGCCGGTTCGCTCACTGGCTGAGCAATAACACCAAGGCCACGGGTTCGGATCCTATATAGGGAAGGCCGGTTCGCTCACTGGCTGAGCATGGTGTTGACAACAACAAGTCAAGGATTAAGATCCCCTTACCGGTCATCTTTTTAAAAAAAAATAAAATAAAATAGGATAAGTGGGCTGGCTGGTTAGCTCATTTGGTTAGAGAGCAGCCTTATGACACCAGGGTCATGGGTTTGGAGCCCTATACTGGCCAACTGCCAAAAAAAGGGGAAAAAAATAGGATAAGTAAGTCAGAGATGACACAGATCTCTCTAAAGTTAAACAATTTCTAAAAATTAAAAATTTTTTTATTCACTTAAAAACTTACTAGAAATAAAAATCCATTAACCATAAAGAATGCCAGCTATTTATATATATATTTTTTTTTTTTTTTTTTTTTTTCTTTTTTTTTTTTTTTTTT